GGGCATCAGGCCTGCGGGCATCAGTCAATGTTTGAGAATCAGTTATCTGCGGGTATCAGATTCAGTCTTTGGGGACAGCGATTCAGGGATAATGATCAGTGTTGGAGGACAATATGTATTCAGCTTACCGACTGTGTGTTGTTATGCCCGGCTGTGTGTCATGCATTTACTTTAAGATGTTATGTCCGTTTATCTGTTTATTTATTTCCTTATTGCTTTATTTATCTTTTTACTAAGGGCAGTTTTAGCACAATTGCTTCCGACCCAGTAGATATTCCCTAAGCACTTTAGACAAGAGGTCGTCGGCTCAATCGATCTGAGGATCTAATTGACGGACAGCCAGTGTTCCATTCTCTACCCCTCGTTGTCAGAAGAAGGCCAAGAAAACGCAGTGAGTCTGAGCAGAGGTTACCAGAACAGTGGTCTACCCTAGCAGTGAACAGCCGGGTTAAGGTGTCAGTTTCTGCCATAGAGATACACATACCAGTCAGTCAGCAAGATCAACAGAATACTGCCAGGATGGAAGAAATGATGCGCCAGCTCCAAGAGAGCATGAAACAAATGCAGGAGGACGCTGCCCGCCAAGCAGAGTTCTCTAAACAGCAAGCCACAGTCATGGCTCAGCAGGCCGAGCTAATCACTAGACTGCAACAGCAAAATGCAGCATCTGCCTCACATCAAGTTCCTCCTCCACCAGGGGTCCCGTTACCCGAGCAGGCACCGACTGTCCAAAATGCCCTGCCAAACACCCAGAACACCTTACCCAATCTCCAGAACATCCAAGAGGACACAGACCTTCCAACGGGGCCAGCTCCGCCCCCGCTTCCGCCTCAACTGTCCAAGACCCATACACCCAACCACCCGGACTCTCCCTTCGAGTTCGAAATAGACCATACAGCTCTGAAACTGAGCAAGCTCGAGAAGCTTTTCAAGAAATCACAAGGAGTAAAGGCTATTCCGGATATCGAGGACGGATATACCGATGTGGCCGTAACATTGCCAGATAGATTCAAGATGCCGCAGATTGATCGTTTCGACGGATCCGGGGATCCCATGGTCCACCTCCGTTATTCTCAGATATACTGCGGCCAATGGGACTAACCCGACCACAAAAGCTTTCGCTGTTCGGCCGAACCCTGTCGGGTGTGGCCGCTATCTGGTACGCGAAGTTGGAAGATGAAGTAAAAAGAAGTTGGGATGAAATGGCCGAGGCCTTTGTCGCACAGTACTCGTATTGAGATTACAACTCGTGATCTCGAAACAACAAGGCAGGAGCCCAAAGAGACTTTCTCAGATTTCGTAACTCGGTGGAGGGCGAAGGCATCGATGATGACTTTGAGGCCCACTGATAAGGACCAAATCAGGATGATTGTGCGCAACCTCCAACCAAAATTGATGCAGAAGATGATTGTACTCCCCTTCCCCACCTTTTCGGATCTACATGAGATGGGGGTACAAATCGAGGATGCAATGAAGCAAGGTCTGATTGACCAAGGCAGGGAGCAACCCCGGAGAACATTTAACCGCAACAACAATGCAGGCCCGAGTGGCGCTGCAACTGCAAGAGCTTTAGAGGTGACCATGGTCACCACCATCCCCCCTCCCCTTCCAAGACCCATGGCAGCCACACCCTTCTCCGGTGCATCCGGAAGCAACACACAGACCACCAAATACCAACCCAAAGGCCAAAGAACCTTCACACCCTTATACATGCCCCTGTCCAAAGCTCTAGGGGTATTAATCAGGAAAAAACATTTGAAGCCCCTGGAGCCGAGGCCACTACCAAATCCACTCCCTCCCTCTCATGACCCAGCAAAATACTGCGCGTATCACCAACAACACGGTCACGACACCGACCGTTGTTTTAGATTGCGTCACGAGATCCAGGATCTTATTGACAAGCAGGTGATTGCGCCTCCCGACAAACCCAACGTCACAACCAATCCTCTCCCACCGCATAACCAAGCTCCCCCTCCCAATAGGATCAATTTTATCCAAACTGGGGTTGCATCTTACGATCCTAGTATCTATATCACCCCATCCCACCTACCTAAGCCGGAGGTGCTCCTTCCTGACTACACCGACTCTTTGTGCATGACGGACATCTCCACAACCCAACCCGAGCCAACGGTGGTGACCATCGAAGATGGGGCAGGGCAGACTTCAGGAAAGAATGGGATTGTTGAGTCTGGGATTGAACAGTCTGAGAGTTTTGCTGGGGAAGCCTACGATCCAAGTGAGTACATCTTGTCAACAGGCCAGATTGGGCTAGGTATAGAATTGCTAGAGAAGGAAGAGCTGTGTGTGATCCAGGGGAACAGATTTGAGCAAGGGGCAAATGATTTGACGGCTATGGAGGAGGACTTTGCCAACCTGCAGTTTTTCGATGACCAAGAATCAGGGGGCGCGGCAGTCAACTGGTTTGATTATGAGGAATCGGCAAAGGCTATAGGTGGCTTGATGACTGCCAAACGTTGTTGACGAAGCTCAGTTGGAACAGGGCTCGGCAGAGGCAAGCATATCAGTGGTGGCCGGAAGGGCCGGAAATCAGAATGAATTGCCGGAGAGGGCCCGGCAGGGGAAAGAGTATCAATTGTGGCCGGAAGGGCCGGAAGTCAGGTTACATTGCCGGAAAGCGCCGGTACGAAGAATTTCGCTCGGGACTTGAGCATTGTGGATGCACAAAAAGTTGAACGACAAACCACACTGACACAGGCGGAACAAGAAAAGTTTTGGGATTCCGAGAGAATCAGAAAGGCAAAATCCCATGAAGGGGCCGAGGATGTTGTGTGCACAAAAACAGAAGGTGTTGCGGGCATGCGGGCAGAAGGTACTGCGAGTACGATCATACCGGGGCCGGACAGGTGTCTGTCGGCCGCTGACGGAATGTGGTGGGAAGACGATGATTTATGTCTTGCCCACACAGATAAAGATTGGGGAAGTAACCAGCCAGATGACACCTGGTATGTCGGAGAGGTCGACTATATGACGAGAAGCGGGCGGTATTTCAAGCCCCCGCACCTGGACCAGCCAGAAGCATCTGGGAAGGATAAAGAAGTTGAGAAACAGAAGGAGAAGCAGCTTGAAGAGGAGACTGTATTGAAGCAGTTAAAGAAAATACAAGCAGATATCTCCATCTGGGGACTGCTTATGGCATCGCGAGTACACAGGCAGGCTGTCCTTTCAGCCATGGACAAGGCCAAGCTTTCTATAGACACCACACCAGAGCAGTTGGTTGAATTGGTTTTTCCGGGAGGAGGTTCCCCGATGTTGACCTTTTCTGACAAAGAACTACCGCCTGAGGGTGCAAATCATAACAAACCCCTTTACTGTTAGCATATTATATTAAGTGTTATATTAGCCGAAAGGTACACTAGGGTCTGTCTGTAATCATTTTATGCACTCAGGGATAGCACTTAGGGATCATCTTGTAATTGCCTTTCTTGTAAACCCTAATCTTCATTTATAAATAGGGGGTGATATTCTATCATTCCCCAAGCTGGTTACCCAAGCTTCATGGTATCAGAGCTAGATGCGGACGGATCAATAGATCCCAAAGAAAAGCTTTTGATAATTAGAGAACTGAAAAGGAAATACTTTATTTCGACGTGACATGCTATAATACTTGTAATTGGAGTGGTTTCACGTAAGGGTGTTCACGGGTCGATTCGGGTCGGGTGTACCCTTAGCCCACCAACGAATATATTGATTTAGAAAATTTGCCTCTCTACCGACTGAGAATATATTCAAAATCGACTACAACCCACCATTCAGATTGGCGGTCAGTGAAATACATATGCAACTCAAATCTACTCCCCATTTTCTCTCATGTTGTGATTCAAACATGTATAAATGGAGTAGAAGAGATAGATCTAAGAATATTGAATATGAAAACAGATTTGAGAGTAAAGACTGAACTTCGCCTTAGATCTCAACATCATCATCATTGTTAATTAACACCATTGCCACCAGCAGAGAGAGATTAAGAAAGAAAAAAGGTTTCAAATGAGAGAGACTATATCACTATGAGAGGGAGGCGGGTTTCTCAGAGAGGGATACATAATGAGAGGGAGACAATGGTGAGAGATGAATTGAAAAGGCGGGAGGAGATAATGTTTTTTGCAAAGATAAATGTAAGGTTAAGAGGAAGGGAGATAAAAGGGTGAGAGAGAACGAGACTAGAGGAAGGGAGGGAAATGAGATAAGATGAGATGAGAAGGTTGAAAGAGAAGGGGGAGACCAGAGAGTTAGAGAAAGGAATGAAGCTAAAAAAGTAAAAATAAAAGTCTATCTTGGGAAGGGGACAAGACTTTGTCATTAAAAACATAGTTGTCAAATCGTGAATTGAATCGTTAATCGAAATGACCTTGTACTAAATCGAGAATAAAAAATATTATTTTAAATGATGATAATGCGGTCTAATAGGTACAAAGTTAACACAGTTTCCCATGTAAGATCACCATATTATATTTTCCCTTTTTTAGATATTGCTTATCAACCATTCTTAATAAAGAAAGTAAACAGAGACACTCTCAATTTTCAAGTAACAATAACTTAACAATGATGTTGATATTTCATAAGCATATATACCTTTACAAGTAACAATGACCTAATAATAAAGAACTTGCAGAACCATTAGATTTAACTGAGCTCACCCATGTAATATTGAAGTATGTTTATTTTAATAAAATAGCAATAAATGATTTATATTGTAAGTTACTTTAACCTTAAACATCTTTAGAATATACATTATGATTTTTTTAAGAAAATAAATGAGAAGAAATGGTTAAAAACGTGTTGGGTTTGACTGAATTTGAATGGATCCTATTACAAACTTCATGATCTCTAAAATAACAACAAATCATGTATATATATTGGTAACTTTCTTACTAAACACTACTATAAATTGTATTATGTCATTTTAACTAAAAAATGGAAGAAAAAAAATAATCAAAATATGTTTCAAGAATTGCATGAATCCTAAAAAGTGAATCGAATCATGAATCAATTGTAAATCATAATTGTAAATCAGGCGATTTAGTAAAGATTCATTTCCCAAATAGATTCACTTATAGATTCATGTCGATTGCGAATCAAATTGCGAATTATAAGATTCTGATAACAAATATTAAAAGTAATTAGATTAATTGAACAAGGTGATAAGACTTCTTGGTGGGTCAGGTCGGACAGTTTGGATCAGATTTTCGGGTAGTTCGGATCCTTGAACACCCCTAGTTCCACACTAAGCTCGAAACAACAACAGTGGGATGTTGTTTGTAAAAATTTTAAGATACCTCAAAAATGCACCAGAAGAGGTTTGGTGCTTAGACAATCCAATTCTTTTCACATTGTAGGAAATTCAATTGCTATTGGAGATCACTTGGATCAATGCTCAATACCTGGTTAACAATTGATGTCATTGATGTTAATTTGGTTACATGAAATGTTGTAACAAGATTAAGTGCAGAATGAGGCAAAGAACAGAGCGATGCCCAATGCAAAATGTGCGATCACAACGGTAGCTTCATTGCTAGAAAAGATGGGGTTTAGAACTAACGGGCCTATGTAAGTATTTTGCAATAACCAATAATTACAAATAATAAAGTGTTTCATAAGTGAACAAAGCAAATTATAGTTGTCAATTTATTTGAGATATGGTCATGAGATGGTCATGAGGGAGTGGATTAATACAAGCGATGTTAGGTATGAAGTTCAATTGGAGATGTGTTTGTTGGAAACTTGATATGCATTGTTGGGTCCATTTCCTAACAGATTAAGCTTCGGGACTAGTGGTGATTTAACATGCTATTAGAGCTCAAGTAATGAGAGATCTTGGGTTCAAGTCTCTTTATTTACATTTGTTTCTACGCTTATATTATATTTCTCTACATATTTTACATGTGAGGAAAGGTGTTGGAGAGCTTGATATGCATTGTTTGGCCCTTTCCTAAGCTTTTGGGACTAGTTGTGTACACCAAGGCTATGGGGAAGGTTCATTAATTTATTTGATATGCTCCGGCTGGAGGGGGAATGTTAGTATGAGTATTAAGAATAAGGGTACGTCAGTCCTTTCACTTTAAGTAATAAGATTAAAGTGGTGAGGCAAAGACAGGGCCGCAATTTCTCTTGTTGTCCTTGCCTTATTTCTCTCACTTGTTATTTTGTCCACTTGTATGTCTTACAATCTCTAGAGTTAACTATCTCAACAATATAAGGTTTTATTATGAGTTTCATTTCTAAATTATCAAGTCTATTTTCTTTATGCTGTGTTTAGATCATGGATTTTGGTAGAAATTTAGAAAGGGAAAGGAAAAAAGGTGGATGAAATATAACTACATTTTACACACTTTTTCACTTTCCCTTTCCACATATGTATCCAAATCCATGATCCAAACACAGCCTTAATGGTTTCAACTGACTGGTTCCTCTTGTTGTCTGCAAATGTACTGCATTTAAAATCTAGCAAAAAACCGAAACTGCTATATGTATCTTCTGAATAAGAAAACAGCAGCCACATTCACCAAGTACTCTCTCTTGTTCTCTTTCTCCTTATTTTCTATGCTTGCTTGTCAAACAATCTCTAGAGTATCTATCTCAGCAATAAGCAATATAAGGTCTTATTCTAAGTTTCATTTCTCCCTATTTTATTTGCTCTCAGCTGACTGGTTTCTCTTGTTGACTTCAAATTTATGCATTTCAAATTTTCTATTGTAAAATTAAAAATTAAAAATAAAAACCTTGCAAAAGCCAAAAGTACTACATGTATCTTCAGGGTAAGAAAACACCAGCCACCTGCACCATGTACAGAACACTAAAGAGATGCCTCATCATCTTGCATGTATGTTGGGGGCAGAAAGAAAAAAATGCTCGTTTTGCATTGAATTTAGTTGTAATGTCTCAAAAAGAATCTTTTAGGGGATTATTACAGGCTTGCAAGTGAGCAGTTAAACAGTGATTGGGGAAAGATTTTATAGACAAGATTGAAACTTGTTGAGCAGCCCTTTTAATTGCAGTACTAATACTGTACAGACAGAGAGAGAGAGAGAGTTAACAAATTATGTAAGACAATACAAGAACAATACCTTGGTAGGATCTGAAAGTACTGCATATCAGCATCTTTGTGAATGTTGTCCACTACGTCCTTCTAAAGCCCATCATCTCCATTCTCACTTCTAGTCAAGCACTGACCAGCCTACATCAGTAAAATACTATTAGAGAGGGTAAATGATAGTAGCCTCTAAGTATAGCAGAAGATAGTAAAAGTCTGAAACCTTGTCAGGATGATGTCGGAGTGCAGCTTTCCATTAGGCCTTCTTAATTTCTGATGCTGTTACAGCTGGATCAACACCCCTGGCAATGAAACGCAAAAATGGTGACACATTTGAAAAGAATAATGACATTTTCCAGTATGCGAATGAGATCATTCGCCATGCCAGTCTCATGGACAATAAGGCGTTGACACCTCGTGAGTTACATGCCAATTTTTTGACTAATGGTATTCCTATTGATGATCCTGCTTTGTATAGAGAGTTGGTTGGTTGTTTAGTTTATCTTACTATGAGTTGATTGGATATTGCCTTGGTTGATAGTTTGGTTTATCTTACTATGACTTGACATGATATTGCCTCTGCAGTTCATGTGGTTAGTTAGTGTGTTTCTACACTTCGCACTACTCATTGGGAAGCTTTGTTGTGGATTTTACATTATGTTCGTGGTATCATCTTTCAAAGTTTAGTGTAGTATTTTTGCTTCCACTTTAACTCTTCAGGCTTAAGCTAATTATGGTTGGGCTCAATCACAAGTCCACTACCAGTTTTTAAAGTTTTTCTTGGTAACTCTCTTATCTCTTGGAAAAATAAGAAACAATACTGCTGGTTTTCTGCCCATGGCTTCAGGGGTATTCATGTTTGGCATATGCCTGCTAATAACCGAACATCTATTGAACTTAAAATATAAAGCTAAATTTATTTAATTCGAAATGTTCTAATATATAGAAGGAATCCATTATTTCGATTTGTTGATTGTTTTGTTAACGAACTGATTGGATTTCCACATGCATAAACGACGACCATGTATCAAATGAAAACTTCATTCTCGATTCTACAAGAATTATAGTTCAAATCATATTAATGAGTGTTCTATATCAAGCCCGTGAAAACTTTATTTTATTAGATTGCTTGATGTTGAATATCATGCTATGGCCCATGCTACAGCTGAAGTTGTTTGGCTTCCTTGGCTCCTTTCTAATTTAGGTGTCTGGCTATCCTCTCTTACTCCTCTCTATTGTGATAACAAGAATGCTATCCAGATAGCTCACTCCATATTCCACAAGCACATGCTATCTCTTACTGCTCTCTACTGTGATAATAGAAGAAAGGTTCGGAAAACCGCACCCTTGTCATCATATGGTTTATTTGGCAAGAAAGAAATCGCACGTTGCCTATGGTTTTACAGCTTCTGATCCATTGTTCAAAGAGAATTCTCCCGTTTCACAATATTTTTGGATGGAGTCTTTTTCTTCTTAATTCTTTTATTGACTTTCCGGGAACTTGTACAGGCTTCACCAATACTTTTGAGTGTACAGGGTTTGTGCCCTCTCTATTGGTGCCTTCTCTTAATATAGGGAAAATTACAACATATAGGGGAAATTACAACATTCTCCCCACCGGTCCTTTAGTATTGAAAAATTACACCAACCTCCACTAATAGACTTAAAACGTTAATAGAGTCAACAAACATAATAAAATGACGAAAATAACCCAATTATTTACAGCCATTACTTTCAACCGCGACCCTAACTCTAACCCACCTCTCCATCTCTTCTCCTTCCTCTTCCTCTAGCACCCTTTACCCATCACCACTTGCACACCCCTCTACCACCCCTTTCACCACTGCCACCCTTCACTTTCCCTCTCTCATTTCACCTCTAGTACCACCCTTAACGTCCTCTCCCTCATCTTACCTCCTCCTCCACCCATCACCTCCACAGCCACCCCCTTATCCCCACTGCCACCCATTACCACCGCCCTTTGCCTGCTCTCCCTTATCCCAACTCCATCGCCAACTGCTCATCTTACCAGAAATCAAGGCAAAAACCAAACATCAAAGCCTAGGTCGCCATTGTCAACATGAACGTCTCCCAACGTCTCCCATTCTCCCTTTATATCACCTTCTCTCCTTAAAATCCCAATCTCATCAGCCCAGCACAAGAATCACATGTGACCTCCTCCTTGATCTCTAGCCACTCCACAGCCTCACATTCGAACCACATCACCTCTATTCATCAAGCTTAGGGACCACCATTATTTGAGTAATGAAAAAATGCAAATCCCAAATCAATAATCAAAACATAATTCCCATTTGATGCATCGTCAATCTATAAGATGAAGCATTTGTGCTCTATCTTGAAATCCTTGTCACAAGTCACAAAACCCAAAACCCTAACCCCTAACCTCTATTTGTTGCCCAAAGCCCTGATCTCAAAATCCCTTGAATTGAATTGGAGGCGGAGGGAGGGGTTGATAGCAAGCGAAGGCTGGTGGTGTCAATCGCTATGGGGTTTGGTGGTGGGGGAGGACGTTGGTGGAAGTAATGCAGCGCGGTATGGTTACCGGGGGGGTAGTGGGTAACGACATGGGACTAAAAATGAGTATATTATTAGAGAAAACTTTTCAGCGACCTCCCTTGAAAATTGCCCAAATTACAGTTGGCCCCATTAGTATTGAAAAATTACACTAGCCTTCCCTGATATTGTTGCATTTCACTGAATCCCTCGCTGTTTGGTGAAAATTGCCCTTTAATATGTACTCATTTTTAACTAAAATGGAAACAAAATCCTTCCAGCCATATATCAGGAAATAATGAATCTTCCCCCCTTGGGGTAAATAGTGATTCCGAACATGAATAAACAATACAGCTCTGTCCAACAATAATGCAATTAGCTTCTTTAACCGGGTACTGAATCAAAGAATTACCAACATTATAGGCAACCGACCAAATGTCCAAAATTTAGAACTGAGATTGGAAAATGAAGATAACACACAAGTTTTTCTTGCATCAATAAGGTCCATAACAATGCAGCTCGCTTCTTTCCTATTTCATGTTTTTGCATGTTTTTTCTTTAGTTTTTCATCTCTAATTCCACAATCTTAACCCTTTCCAACCATTTCAATTTAACACTCTAAATCCTTGCTGCCTAGTATTTAAGCAACTAATTTTGAAAATCCAGTAAGCCATCACTTCCAAAACTAATGACCCTTTCTAATCCACAACCTTATATATTGATTTATTTCTTGCATAAGTACCCTTTGTTTCAAATCATAGGGTTTTAGGTAGAACAAAGGTTCTTTTGCATTCTATTGAAGGCTATAGAAGTTAAAGGGCCTTTATTCCACCTTTTAAAATCCTAAACCTGCAACATTTGCCTAACCTTCATCCATCATAATCAAAATTAGCAGCATACACCCAGATTTCTAGCACTCTCCTACATGATCCTAGTAAAGACTTAAAACTAATCCAACCAAAGCATACTGATCAATGTACAAGTTACTTCTTCATGCATTAGGCGGACACATTCATGCATGCAATTGTTGAAATTTTTACGTGACACCACAGTATAACATAAGATAACAAATTCACATAGTTAATATCATAAACTGAAAGGAAAACTTACAAAATGAGGTACATATTCAAGTGAATTTCCTTTCTCGCTTCTTCCATTATAGAAACCATTGTTCAGCTTGTCTTAACTCATTCACACTGCTCATTCTATCAGATGCACCAGACTGATTGGCCTTATCCTCCACTTGCTTCATGAGAAGAGACACTAGTCTTTGAAGATCCATTGTTGCTTGTTCATAATCTCTAATCATCTCAAACAAAGTGGATCGCCTAGAAATTGCCTGCAAAAGTATGAGCACGATAAACAACTGTTTACAAACAAACTGACGAGCCAAAAAAAGTAAATAACATAATTTTTGCGAAGGCGTCCTCTTGTTGGTCTGTTTATCATTGTCATACGAGCATCTAAGAACCACGTTAATGTATGGGACGGATACCTAAGAAGCGTGGACATGGACATGTGACACAATAAGGATATGATATGGGCACGCCAACACGCTAATTTTTAAAAAAATGCAAAACATGGAATATATAATTTTTATATATTTATTATATGTTATATATATATACCATTATTTTTAGAGAATTTCAAAATGGGGAATGATTAGGATATCATCCCCTATTTATATTAATAAAGTTAATAATTATAAGGTGAACCATAAGGCATAGGATAATTACAAAATAATAACCAAAATAATAATATATTATTATAACACTCTCCTCAAGCTGGTGCGAAAATATCTCTCATGCCCAGCTTGCCTAAGATATCATGAAATGGCTTACTCCCAACTCTCTTAGTGAGGATGTCAGCAAGTTGTTCACCAGACTGCACAAAGGGAATACATATTGTGCCACTAGTGAGTTTCCTCTAAACGAAGTGGCAATCAATCTCAACATGCTTTGTTCTGTCATGTTAAATCGGATTCCGAGCGATATTGATAGCAGCCTTATTATCACAGTATAACCGCATGGAATCCATCTGACCAATACCTAGATCACTCAACAATAACTTGATCCATAAGAGCTCACACAGTTCTTGTGTCATAGTTCTAAACTCAGCTTCTGCACTTGACCTAGCAACCACATTCTGTTTCTTACTCCTCCAAGTAACTAGGTTGCCTCCAACAAAGATGCAATACCCTGAAGTTGATCTTCTATCAGTCACTGATCCAGCCCAGTCAGCATCTGTATAGGCTTCCACACGAAGATGATCATACTTTGAAAAATAAAGACCCTTACCAGGAGCAGACTTCAAGTACCTCAAAATTCTCATGACAACCTCTAAGTAAATCTGATGAGGAGCATGCATAAACTGGCTAACCATACTAACAGCAACAGTAATATCAGGACGGGAGTGAGATAGGTAAATGAGTTTACCCACTAATCACTGATAGCTCTCCCTGTCAACAGCTGCTCCTCCTTCATCATCCCCTAGTTTCTGATTGGGTTCTAATAGAGGGTCACGGGCCTTGCAACCAAGCATTCTAGTTTCCTTCAACAGATCAAGCACATACTTCTTCTGTGAGATAAATATCACATCCTTAAGAGCGAGCAACTTCAATTCCCAGAAAATACTTCAAGCTCTCCAAATCTTTGATTTCAAACTCACTGGCTAAATATTTCATCAACAGAGGAATTTCCTCACCATCATCGCCCGTAAGAACTATGACATCTACATAAACAATGAGTGTTGTAGTCTTACCAAGTGAGGATGTTTCACAAACAAGGTGTGATCTACCTGACTCTGTTTGAAGCCATAGCCTGAGTGAATCTCTCAAACCAAGCCCTTGGACACTGTTTGAGACCATATAATGACTTCTGAAGCCTACATACCTTGCCTTCTGTCTGATGATCCTCAAAACCAAGAGAAATGTCCATATATACCTTTTCTTCGAGGTCACTATGGAGAAAGGCATTCTTTACATCAAACTGATGAAGTAGCCAGTCTAGATTAGCTGCTAGAAAGAGAAGGACTCTAACCGAATTCATCTTAACCATTGGTGCAAAGGTCTCCTGACAGTCAACGTCATATGTCTGAGTGAACCCTTTTACCACAAGTCTAGCCTTATAACGCTCAATAAACCCATCCGCTTTGTGTTTCACAGTGTATACCCATTTGTATCTTACATGCCGTTTGCCCTTAGGTAACTTAGTCAATTCCCAAGTGCCATTCTTCCTAAGTGTTTTCATTTCCTCAATCATGGCTAGTTTCCATTCAGAGGTAGCAAGAGCATCCTGAAAATGGTTAGGAATGCTAACAGAGGAAATATTGGACACAAACGCTCTATATGAGGATGACAAATGAGAGGATGACGAAGGAACGTTTCGTTACTCAAAGTGATGAAACCGCGTTCTCAATTCCCGGTCGCCGATCACTCCGGATTATCCTGAATGGTCCTAGGTCTTGTTGTGTTATTCATAGGATTCATTTCACATCAGTCATGCATATTCGACTCCTATCGGCTCATTAATGCATCGAGATGACGTGATTGATGGCCGTGGATCAAGGACCTACACTCCTAGAGCTTGTGCACGGAGTGAGGTGAGAGTGCGTCTTGCAACACATATGTTGAAAATACCTTGCTTTCTCTCCCCTCTTGACCTTCTGTTGCGAGAACAAACCAGAATCCGAGGGCATAAAGTGGTGGACGCCGAACCAGGTTGTTCTGGCAGGTAACCACACGTTTCTTTGGTTGTCCACCAAGAAGGTGATCCGGCAAGATGTTTCCGAAGGCCAATACCTGGTCCGGCAGCCTTTCCCAAGGGATGGAGTTTCAGACTACATGGAGCCGTTGTGCAAATTTTACACAAATCAGTTGCAAACAAAGGGCAAGAACGAAAAGAGCGAAAACCGCGGATCGCGACATGGAAATTTATCCGAGCGAGGCGCACCTTCGAGCAGAATGCAATGGCATCCATGGGATTCAGCAAACAGAAGAAGGGGAGGGTGAGCGCTCACAAAGGAGATAAAAATTCAAGTTAATCAGACAATTCATGATACTCGTTTCACTTGATTTGCGTTATACTATAGGCCGTATGCTTCGATTCGCATTAAATGTCTGGGTGTAGATTACACTATAGGCATTCCAGTGAAGAGCTGATTATATCTCTCTTTCGGGAGCCCCCTTCGATGGGGGATAAGTAGTGCATGTTGTCAATACGGTGTGGCGAGAGTAGAAAAGAAGAGTCAACCTGAGTTGAGCATAATCCATGCTGGAAAGATAAATATTCGGCAAGTGATCAGAGAAGAGAAGGACCACGCGACAGATCTAAGATCAGAGGATAAAAAGGAA